CTCGAGCTGTCGGCGAGGGAGAAGGAGGAGATTGAAGAGCGCATCCGGCGCGAGCTCGAATACGAGCGGCTCTTCTTCCAGACGGGCGTCACGACATCGCAGGCGCACGCATAGAAGGAGGCTGACCTGCGCGTGATGAAGGCGGAGCAGGCGAAGCTCTACGTCGACCTCGACTCCGACTGAGCGCCGCCGGTGGGCAGCTACCACAGGAGCTCCGGTGAGCTCAATTTTGTTGTAATGGTACGGTAGCGTAGGCCCTGTCTAGCATCTCTGACCTTTAATATGTATGTATGTGTTGTGTACGAACTTATGTGAAGAAGAATCATCTATGCGAGTGAGCTCCGGCGAGCTGCTGCTTAAATTTCTCGCGCGAAACAACTTTTTTTTTAATATTACGGGTTTGTTTGCAGTTTCTGTTCTGCCGCCGCATTTTTCAGTCTTTATAAACGCCCCCGTGCAAACTGTAAACACAGTTTATAGTTCGGCAAAATGTGGGGTCTGCTAGAGTTGCCCTAAGCACCTTGGTAAAGTCATTAAAAGCTTTGTATCATTGCTCATCTGAATACAACCAACCACCCAAGTGTGAGCGTACAAGTGAGGAGCTTCAGCTGTCACCGTGCCATCCCCTTCCCTTCCTTCCTTCCCCGTCCCTTCTCACTCCCCTGCCTCTCACTCACCCACTCGCGCCCGCGCACACAGAACTAGCCAAGGAAGCGAAGAGGAATTGCCATTTCGGGAAAGGAGAGGAGAATCAGATCGGGCAGATGGCCGCCGGCGACGTCGCCACCGTCTTCCTGGAGATGAGCCTCGGCACCCGCCTCGCCGTCTCATTCCCCGCCGCATCCACCACCGTCGCCGACCTCAAGCGTGCGTATTTTCTTGCTTCTGTACCTTCCTTTTTGAACTGTTCTTGCTTGTCCACGACCGGCTGGCTGGCTTTGCGATGGTTCAATCCTCTCGCCTCTAGAACAAATCTTGGCTACTTCTCTTGATTGCAAATCAAATCAGATCAATTCGTTTCGGCCTGAGCTGACAAAACCCCAATCTTGAGTTAATTTCCTTTTTTGGCTTGTACCAGGCAGAGTGAGTCATGAGCACGCCGCATGTTTCCCCAACTATGGCCAGATCGCCGTCCAATCCGTCAAGGTACTGTCCAATCCATCACGGAATTTGGCTGATCCATCGATTTTAATTAACATGCCCGCTGATCCATGTCAAATGCTGATGCCTTGAGCAGGTCGACCAGGGAGGCTCGTGGTTCCACCTCGCCGACTCCATGGCCGTCCGGGATGCGTTCCAGTTCCACGGGGCCAACGAAACCTGGCACCTCCAAGTAGATGCTCTGCCTCACGCTCAGCATCTCGACCAAGGATTGGCCACCGAGGGACACTCCAAGGATTCCTCTGCTGCTCACTCTGAACCAAGCTGTGAGATGCTGGCTGACCAGGTTAAAATTGAAGTTGGAGCGGACTCTGAACCAAGCTGTGAAATGCTGACTGATCAGCTTAAAGTTGAAGTTGGAGCGGAGGAGCCATTGGTAGCCAAGGGCAAAGGAAGCAGCAACGGGGGTGATCCAAAGGGATCGAAGGAAGCAGAGGCCACATCAACAGAACAGGGGGCATGTGAGAGGAAAAGGCTGCGGCCAAGGACCAGAGTTGGCAAAACACCGGTCACTAAGCGGGCGAACAGCAGCGGCAGTTCGGAGTCGGAGGAGATGGACATCAACACCGTCGGCGTCTACGCGCCGCCGTCGCAGTTCGTCGTCATGCTCAAGGAATGCCACTTTGTCACCAAGAACGGGCAGTACCTGGTGGGAGAGTCCCTTAGAGCATTACTAGTAGAGTCTTCAAACTCTCAAACCCTTAAAAATAACTGCTTTTTTACAGTTTTCGTCGAAAAAAAGCCGTAGACTAGAACCCCTTAACCCTCAAACCCTCAAATTTTTTTAAAGGTCCAACCTTCAAACCCTCTCCCAATCCTCAAAAGTAAGGGTTGGGGAGCAAAACCTATCCCAACCCTCATTTGGCGGTTATACTTGCGCGGGAGGGAAAAATCCTCCCAACTCCCGCGCGCACGCCCGCGACCGCCGCTGCTAGTCGCTCTCGTCGCCGGCGGCCGCCCCGTCGACCTCCGACGCGCAACGACAACGTCGTTCATGAGGAATATTCCATTATAAGGGTTGGGTTTGAGGGTTCTAATCTTTGCCCCTGTTTTTCAACCCGTAAAAGTGCATAAAAAGATCGTTTTTGAATCCTTAAAATGCTAGTGAGGGTTTGAGGATTTGAGAATTCTACTAGTAATGCTCTTACTCTGTTCGATCACACGCGCACTTTCGTCCTTGTAAGTTGTAACTAACTCCGTCGCCGCCGATCGACGCAGAACGTGCCGCGGGAGTTCAGCCTGGCGCATGGGTACGCGGAGAGGAAGAAGGTGCTGCTGCGGATGGGGGGCGAGTCGTGGACGGTGAACCTGAAGAACGTCCACAATGTGCGTCGCAAGGCCCGCACGTCGTTCCGGTACGGGTGGCACCAGTTCTGCGTCGACAACCACCTCCGCGTCGGCGAGACCTGCTTCTTCCGAGCGCTCGGCCAAGGCGGCGGCGACCGCCATGTGCTCAAGGTGGAGGTGCGCAGGCTAGATGGCAGCTACACCAGCTGATGTGTGTCCGTCTGTTGCATCAGCATAGCCGTCTCTAGCAGGGCTCTTATCTTAGAGTGCAATGCATTGCATTGTGGTAGACCAATATTAATATGCAGTTTGCTCCTTTATACTCTATGTTTCACTTGGATATGCTAGTTTTTATCAACGTCCTCATTATCTAATTAATTAGCTTTGGCTGACAATTTATTATGCTAGCTTCGTATGACAATATATTGTGCATTTGTGTTATATCTGTAGAATCTGAAAGTGTGATCTCAATTTCTGCCTCTTGATCATGCCTGTGTCTTTTTTTTTCTATGAATCCAAATTGTTGTAGTTCACCCACAAAGAAGGTCTTTTTAGTGAAGGTCAATAGTTTCTTTTACCGTGGAAGGCCAATAGTTCACCACCATGGGAAATGTAAATGTTGTTTGTACACTTTGCATTTGTGAATGCTAGCAACAGGGTAAACTAGAAGTTTGACATCAACAGACAATGCCTTGCATAGGATTTGTTGTTGTGCGCAAAATTAGGAAGAATTCAACATATTACAATGATAAAAGGCGAAGTATCAGGTGAAAACCAGATTTCCTGATCCCAGCAGGTACATGCGATGTGACCGCCGCTGCTACACAACCATCCCTCCGCTCCTCCCAAACTTCACAAAAAATTGCACGGAGTTCACGCACAGGAGCATCTTGCACCACAAAAAAAAAATGGAATTTTTGAATTTTACTGTTCAAGGGGTGCATCTGTGCTCGGGTTCCGGATTGAATTATCGCCGAGTGAATTGGTATGATGCAGCAAGGAAGGTCTTGATGGGCTCCATGACACCAACTTGTGAATCAACATCAGAATTGATCTAATGCAGATCCGCCTGTAGTCCAGATGCAAATTAATCATCCTTTTGAGGTCATTAGATGAGACAAATACAGCAGAACCGACTGGAAGAATGCCTGTTGACTGCTTTCAGTTCATATGGGAGGAAGTCCATTTCTTAACTCCTACCAACTGCTTTCCATTTCTTATATTCCAGAGGGAAAAAATAGAACTGGTGCAAGGAAGAAAGATGCACTTAAGCTCTTGGCCTTCCAAACATAAGCTTGTGATGCAGCAAAAGCAGATTTGCACTGAACACTGTCACAGAGCATACAATTGCATTATCCAGAAGACACAGCGCCTGCAAGCTGCAGCAATAAATGAGTGGCATGCCTGCTATGAGATTGCTTACTTTGTGATGTGCAACTCTGACATAGCATGATCATGGTAGAAGTATATACCTTTGAAACAACTCAGTGATATGCGTTGCGTGGATATAAGTATGTGCTTAACCCAGTCATCAGTTCACATATTTTCCATCAATTTTGACCTTTAGCTTTCTTGTTGCTAGCCACCTGCATTGAGTAGCCAGAACCATGCTGCAACCGCCATGGCAGGTTATATTCAGTTCTTCCAGCGAAGGTGGCAGGCCCTTTACTGGCAGCCACAACATGCGGTGACAATTATCGATCTCCAGCTTCTTGAGGGAGGGAAGGCAGTGCAGCTCCGCAGGAAGATCTACGAGATACCTGCATTTCCAAAACTGGAGCTCTTCCAGGGACGTGATGAGCAGAAGCGCTCCCGCTTGCTCATCTGTTAGCCGTGTTGCTTCACCCTCGCAACTTCGAAGTTCTAAGCGTTGTAGGGATGTGAGCTGCTTGCAGAATGGCGTGGTAAGGACACAGGGGTCACTGGTCACAAGCTTTTCCAATTGAGGGCATAGCTCATAACCTTGCCCTGACACATGCTCTAGAAATGGTGGCAAATTGGGGGTGCTGAATAAACTCAAATGCTTAAGGAACTGGAAGCCCTCTAGTGCGGCGAGCGATGGACATCCCGAAATATACAACTCCTCCAGTGCCGTGCATGACTGTAGCTGTAGAGACTCCAAACTTCGATTGTATATTTGGAATTTTTTAAGGCAGGTGAGATTCCTTGGAAAGCATGGTTGCAGCATTGCTCGAGAATAACTGTTTATCACGAGATGTCCAAGTGATTGAGGGAGGAGACACCTTCCATTCACCTGGCCACCATTTCCATCAATATGCACCGAAGATGAGAGCAGCTCAGGGCAAGACCAAATTGTTAGCTTCTCGAGGGAGGTAAATCCAGATAAACCTTCCTTGCTATGGCAAAATGTTAGATAAGGGGATACCCTAATTTCCATCTCCTTGAGAGAGGAGAGGACATTTAACGGAATGTGCAAGAGTCCGTCTGGAGCTGAGCTTGTCAATGAGTCATTTGAATAGCCTGATGAAGAAGCTTGCATGGTTGAGATAAGATTTGACTGACTGTTTTCTCCCTCTTCTATTGATAACTGTGTTATCTGTGGGCAGTCCCATAAATTGAACACCATTAGAGCCGTCGCATGTCGCAGCATCAAAGATAGCCACTTCCCTGTTATACCACAAGAATGAATTCTGAGATTTTCAAGAGATGGGAGGGCAGTACAATTTGCAACTACCACATCTTCATGGGCACACTCTGGTATATATAGAGAGAAAAGTTTTCCACAATCGCTTATTTCCAAACTCTTTAAGGAGACTAGCTGACGAAAACCTTCAAATGGAATAGACATCAGATTCCGGCAATATCTGATACACAAGTACTTAAGACCCCTTAGATTATGGAATGCTAATATTCTGTCATCCAGTGTCCACATCTCATAAAACCACCCAGCATGTAAAGAAATCGGGCCGTTGATTTTTAATGTTTCTCCAGATGATCCCTCCATCCTTGGCAGTGTTGAAACTCTGTTGATAAAGAATTCAGAACATGTGATTGAAGGTGGAAGAGGGTGCATTACTTCCAAGTGAGGACAATCGTAGATAATTAGCTTTCTAAGACCGGGCAACCATGATTTCTGCTTGCTTTCGAATTTAATGCCCCCATCAAGCAAATCAAACACCTTCAGTGCACTACACATCTTGATATTCAGTACTCTTAAACTAGAGTTCATATTCCACAGGGAACTGCAGGAACATTTCTCCAACTTTGGCATTTCAACTAAAACCAGCTCCTCCAATGAAGGAAATGTTGCTTCCATTACTTTCTGCATGTTGCACAACGTCAACTTCGTAAGAAACGGAAGCATTTCCAAAGATGGAAGTATTTGCCATTCTCCACAATCCTCTAGATGAAGCGTCTGCAAAGAGGTAACTGAAAAATTGCTGGCAAGCCAAGTTGGGGAAGTAGTACCATTGTACCCAAATATCCGCAGATGCTTTAAGCCTGGATGTGGTTCAAGACCCTCGAGCACCTCTCTTGCTTTGCTGCTGTGATCGTTATACTTCCACGACAAGCGCAGCTTTTCTAAGTGTATTTTGTCCCTCAATTTTGCTCCATCAGCCTCATCTTTAGTGGTAACATTTTCAAGTCGTGAGACACCTAGTTGCAGAAGCTCGTTCATGGACTGAAGTTGTGTTATCTCAAAGCTGCTAGTATTTTGGACCCTAAAATCATGTAGCTCCAGAAGGGATGTCATTTTACCAATGCAAGGAATGGAAGAGGATAGTCCTTCTACAACAATATGACGCAGGCTCACAAGATTATGGATACCATTAGGTATCATTGGATCAATGTATGAGCCAGTGTCTAATACTTGAAGATGGTAGAACTTGCTCAAAACTTGAGGTAAAGCCACTCCTGGCGTAGGAGCCTTCAGATAGCGAAGATGGGTAGGATTTACTAAAGTGCACATGAAGAAACTAAAATCAGAAGCTGTTGCAGACATTTGCAGCAGACGCAAATTATGTGCCTTTTTGAATATATCTTGAAAGGATTGGAAGAACAAAGAGTCATACTGCCCAATTAACACCAGTGTCCTCAATCTTCTTACTGATGTAACTGTATTTCTCAAATTTTCTTCAAACTTGTAGCTACGTGGTATCCTTCCATCCTGATTCTTGAAGTATGCAGAGTCGGTTACTATTGACAAATGCTGTACAGTTGGCAAAATTTCGTTGCACCATAGATCATCTATAATTGCACACTCATTTCTTGAAACCACCCGTCCAAAATCATGCATAAGGCCACACATAGCATAGGAAATTTGTCTGCCTTGAAATGGCTCTTCTCTTACAACTCGATTATGGACTCTCATGACAAAAATTTCATCTCGAAAACGGGTGCCCTCATCTTTGCATTCAACTTGCTGCAAGAAGCCTAGATTCACCAAATCAGTCAGATAATCATGTCCTGTCTCCTCCAATTTCTTACCTGAGTGGTTACACTTCACAAATCCCTGTGAAATCCAAATGCGGACCAACTCATCACCAAGAAACTGATGGTTGTAGGGAAATATAGAAACGTATGAGCAACATTGTTGTAGATGGTAGGGTAGTTGATCATAGCTAAGCTTTAAAGCAGACATGATGCCCCTGCTTAGTTGCAAGGATTTCCAACATTCATTCTTCAAAATGGTACTCCAATGATCAACAGTAAGCTGCTTTCTTAATAGTTCTCCTGCAGATCCAGCTGCCAACGGGTTACCCATTAACTTCTCTGCTATTTGATGCCCGATGATGCCTAGAGTTTGATGCTCTTCGTAGTTCTCATCACCAAATGCACATGATTTGAACAATAACCAAAAATCATCATTTGCCAAAGCACCTAAGTTGACCGGTTCGAGGGTACCTATCCTTTGTGCAACAGAGAAATTTCTAGTTGTGATAATAATCACATTGCCCTTCACACGAGTTGATAGCATTGGAGACAACAGTTTGTTCCATAGGTAATCATCCAGAGTGTCCCAGACATCATCTAAAATGAGCAGAAACCTTTCTGACTGGAACTCCATATGTACCTTCAAGATCTCCTGAAGCTTCGCAAAATCATTTATTCCTTCATGACTTTCTTGAGAAATGAAGTCTAACATCTCTCTTGTAAGCCTTACTTCATCAAAGTTGTTTGACACCCATAGCCATTTCCGTTCAAACTGCTCTTTTACTGTTGGATCATTATATACGAGTTGTGTGAGAGTTGTCTTGCCAACTCCTCCAATGCCTACAATAGGCAGTACAGACACACCTTCATGTTTATCAGATGTAATCATCTTTATGATGGTGCTCATCTCTGAATCTCTCCCATACACTTTTTGCTGATTAAGACTTGATGTTGTTGGGCACACATCATTTGAGCTTGTAATAGAGGCCGATCCATGCATCTTGAGAACACCACTCACATCCTCTAGGATGTCTTGTAACTGCTGAGTTATTTCCTGCATCCTATTGAAACAATCTGCCTTGTGCCAAAGGTTTATGTTAGCTTCGGTGGTTTGTGCCAACTCCTCGTCTCTTCTCCTTTTTCTGCTGAACGAATCACCAATTACAACAGGTGCAGCATTTGCAGTAGCATCACAGGTGCTGCAATGAAAAAAGACATTGTAGATTGGCTATTAGAAATGCAACTTTTTCTCCAAGTGCTATCCGAAATGCAATATTTTTTCAATTCAAAATGCTGTGGAAAAAAGTGAAATATTGTCCAGAAAAACATCATGCTATAACATGTATTCTTGTATAAATTTGGTATACAAATATGCCCGTATGCATTCTGTAGAAAAGAGAAATTTTGTGCACTCTGAACTCATACACTCTTCAATCTTCATGGTTGAAGCTGAACTGATTTTTCTTTTTTATGAAGGACGTATATAGCCACATTTAGCATAAAATTGTCCAAGGTTACCTGTTACCTCTCAGAGCACAATGTATACATGCAAATATTTTCTTATTTTTATTTTTAGAACTCTTTTATAGAGAAAATACATTTTGAATATCGGGTGGACATCCACCCCAACGATAAAATACTTTACAACTACTAGAATCACAATAATGGGTTGATTATATAAGTTAAAAAACATTGAAAATGAAAACAGGTGCGCGGATGTAAATTTTTAGGGTCCAGAGGAAAACATATGTTACTCTTTAAAATATGTACCATGAAGAGTTTGGCGGCTGGTCAGTTGCTCTGGAGTTCTTACAACCCTCACTCTTGACATGGTTGTTCAAGATTGACGTCCCTCTGTCGCTTCCGCACTTAACTGGTTTTTGAGAGTGTTTAAACTTTGCTTTCACAGGCTTTCCGTTGTTTTCCTCTGTGATATCAAAATCACACCATGCTTTGGACCATTTCTTGCCACCACTGGTACCAAGTATATTAGCATCACCTCCCCTCGATCTCTCATCTACTCGCTCTGCTTCATGCATTCTGCCAGGATCACCCCATGCAACTGCAGAAAAAAAGAGGTGAATTAGCATGCATGCTTGACAAAAACTCCCCCCACCCCCACACACACACATACACACACGTGCACAGACACAGGGCCCTTGAGCTGTGTTTAAGTACTGGGATCAGTTGTGTTAGTATAAACCTTGTTCTGGTCTTGTGATATACTCCCTCCGTCCGGAAATACTTGTCGGAGAAATGGATGTATCTAGACGTATTTTAGTTCTAGATGCATCAATTTCTATCCATTTATGCGACAAGTATTTCCGGACTGAGGGAGTACTATGTGTTGCGCAAGTGAACAAGTTGGTTTGTGACAGGTTTCATTTGTTGGAACTGTCATGAGTGTATTACATGGGTGTTGTGCTGGACTTGGTCCAGAACGATGTATGCCAACTCAACAAGATTATAGAGAGTTCCGTTAAGAGTCGGTTGTGTCCATGTATAAATAAACCAGCATTTGTTGCTGGAGAAGTAGAATGGAAATTTGGCATCCGTTGCCTGAAAAACTACTGTGTACAGGTTACTCTGTTTTCTCTCCTCTGTTGTCTCTTGTTCAGTTAACTCGGTGTGGAGGACAAAACACAAATTCACTTCGTGTGTACTCGTGAGTCCGCTGGACTGAAAGAGGGAGCAGGCCGGCGGCTAACAAGTTGACCCCAATAAAATTACGAAATCCTTCGCTATATTAGTACTAATCACTATTCATCTGTACAAGATGACCCCATCAAACTTTTTCTGTCTTCGTTCCTGCACACACGCACCTCTTTCTAGTACTAGTTGTGTTCGGGGGTGGTCACCGGCATGGAAGAAGAATATGAAGAAGATTAGGAGAACACATTTTCACGACTCTGGAAGAAAAATAAATCTTTGGTGACGGCGTGGTGCCACATTTCGGTAGGGAGAGCGACTAGAGATTTGATCACATGCCTCTCAAAAGTTTTGACTTTGATCATATGCCCACTTTTCCAATGAATTTTTGATCAGGTAGAACAATAATTTGGCCAGGCTTTTCTGTGGTAATAATTAATAATATTGCCCATTTTTTCTTTGCCCATTTGTTATGTGCCTATTTGATCAGCAAGGCAGTTCGCCTGATCCAAACCCGAAGAAAAGAAAGAACACGGATGTGAACACTTAACGACAGTGTCCAGTGCTCTCTCAGCTCCATTTTCCCCACACGGTATTGACTATTGAATGCTATTTGGGCCTACTTGTTCCACTGCTATTAAGTGCATTAGTAAAAAAAAGAATTAAAGATGATCATATGACATTGTGACCTGCCATTTTCTTTAGGGACAGAGTTATCCGGGGCCTATTTAGAGAAGACTGCAGTGTAGAAAAAAGAGCACAACAGCTGCTGTTTTGCCCGGTGGCATTTTGGTCTCCTCCGACACCCTATGGGGATGCTGCTGTTATCAAATTGACATGGTAAATGCGCATATGATCCAAGTCCAAACTAGTGTGAGGCATGTGATGAAATAATCCCTATTTGTACCGCATATGATGGATCTACAGTGGTTACGCGTACCTTCTTGGACCTGCTGCTGGAGCCTGCAGTAGTCGAGGTCGTCGACCACATCGTCGGCTTCGTAGAGCAGGTCCTTGAGGCGAGCGAGCGACCGGGCCAGCGGCTCGTTCACGGCCGCCCGCCCCCTCACGGCGCTGACCGCCACCTCGACCCTCTCGACCTCGCACCTGAGCCTCTCGATGTCGTCGGCAAGCCCGGCTTGGCGGATCCACGCATCCAGCTTGTCGATTCGGAGTGTTCCGAGGATGGTCTGCACCAGCCACCCAATCGCGGCCTCCATCAGATCCGGCAGAAGCGGTTGTTCGCCGGAGGATGATCAGCGGAGGAAAGTGCAGGGATGGGGAAGAAGAGCAGAGCACTCGGGCCGAGGAGAGCAATATACAATGCAGCGGCGACTTCCCTTTCTTTTCAGTGAGATGAACTTCAGCGCGAAGTTCTTTTTTCCTTTGATTGAATTCGGACAAAACAAATGAGGAGGTACAGGATTTACGGCGCACAAGTGCGGGGCACGCGCTTTTATGGACCGTTGATCTGCGCCAAGATTCACACATATGTTTATGTATATGGTCTTTTTGTGTTGTATAAGACTTTGTATATGTCTGTAATGTTATGTAGTATATCTAATCGTATATCGGTTTATTTGTGGGGCCAGATAACTGTATGTATACAAGTCCGAAGAAAAACGATTCATTCGCAGCACAGGTCGTGAGATCGAGGTGCCCTTAGCTCCATCTCCACGTCCAGAGACCAGGAAGCTTCTCCGATGTGAGGCAGCGTCGACCATGAAAGACTCAAATGAGAAGAAGGGAGGTGCCGCCGCTTGAGAGATGTGGAGCACCTGGAGGGAAGGGAAGGAGGGCACCGCCTCAATCGAGGAGAGGAGGGGTGGGCAGAAGGAGAGACCGATAGAGAAACGGGCATAACTTTTTTTAGATAACACAAGATGCACGTAGAAGGAATGAAAATATTTATATCTATATTCCTATATCTCATCATGATGTAGTGTATGATTAACTTTGGATATCGGTTGTTGGATGGAGCTGATCTAATGGTTGGGAGGTGGCAAATCCGAGTAGTCTTAACCGTTGGATATTCTCTCCATCATATTGGATTCTGCCACATGTTACTAATCCGGAAGATTCCACACTTGTGCTTAGCAAACCTGAAAACAAAGACACTTCTTCTTTGTTCTAAATTCTTCCATACTTCAATTCTGCATACACTTCTCATTTGTTCTAGACTCTTCCATACTTCAGTTCTCCCAACTTTTTTTTCCTTCCAAAAGAATTGACATTTATGTTTACTTTAATTTTTTTGGTTCAGAGCTAATGCAACATCTTCCCAAAGTCCAATTTTCTTTGCGAATGGAGTACCCAACTGTCCTTATATGTTTCACATGAGTTTTGTGTATTACCACATTCATCAAATATTATGTAGTTATAATTTGATTTTGAATCGGATGGGTGATGTGACTTAAACCTACAACTTGGACAATATTTCAGAAAACTGCCTAAAATAAGCCCCC